TGTTAGTTATAAACTTACCTGGACCAAAGATTCTGATAAAGTGTCAATATTTTTGCACTTAACTGTACTTGTGTCAATTCAAGACCGCTATTTCAACATTAGTAGTCGTAGTTGAAATGAATGTAAGTTTTAACTAATTCTTTTGAGATCTGTCCGAGTTTTGATATTTTGTACAAAGTATGACATATTTGGTAAGAAGGAAGTTAATATATTCAAATTTGTTGAAATAATTACCTTAGCTCGGAGTTTCCTATCGGTCAGTGACAGCTGACTGTCATATCATTATTAACCAAATTTTACACCAACAAATTCAGTATGAGAAGTTATCACTTGGAATACATTTGTTACATATTTACAAGTCTCACTTGTTTCCAGGTTTAATATTAATGTTTTAATGAACATGATATCATCATCTTTAAAAGATCTGCTGATACAGGACAATATGAATATTAATTTTGTGGTAATTCCATTGTTGTGCCTGGCAAACATGTAAATCACCTGTTAGCTGTGGCTATTTTACATACCAGCGTCAAATTGAATGCCGGATAACTCTATTTCCATTTTGAAGTTTCTTGGTGTGTTTTTATTTTATCTATACTAAAATTACAAAGATCAGAATTGTATTTATGATCTGGTGCTGAATGCTATTAGGACAACAGATGGTGTCAGTAATATCTCAAAATTGACTTTAAACTTAGTGGAGAAATGTATATGTTATCATTACGATGGAGAGATAGATAACATGTCAGTAGAACAATGTCTCGGACCAAGTCCATACATCATGTATGCCATTTCATTAATTGAATACAAGAAAAATATGACAGTTTGCAGAAATATTTACATGCATTACAGAATCAGAATATTAATTAAAAAATGTATATGGGTCATGATATATTCATTGATTGTACAAAATGGGATATCGGCTTTAATTAACTCGTTCAACCCTGAAGACACATTTGAACTCTTCCAATTCAAAGGTTGGAATAGTTCATCATGAATTTTCAGGGGTAAATGAGTCAAAACAGAACACTGCTGTATACTGGGAAATTTAACAATCGCTCAGTCAAATATTTGCCCTTCACTGGTAAAATCTATCTTCACTCAGTGTAAATTTAACCCTTCGAATGTAATTACTATAATCATATACATTGTACTAATATTTGCTGTCATGATAATCACCCTTATTGCTGATGATACACTATTGAAATGTTGGCGTTTTGACTAGATGAACTTATCCTGTTGTGAACATTTCTGTATTGGCAATGGGTTTTGTAATGTTTATATTCTATACATCGAGTGTCATCTATATAATTAATGAATATATATTCATGTGTGGACATTTTGCACTCTTTACTCAACAAAAAAACCCATGAGAATTTCAACACTACTACAGAAATTTCCACTATTGCAATAATCCAAAGTACAATTGTAAGTTTACTTAATGGCATCTGTACAACTGTCAATGGATAACTACAGGCTTCTATTCACAGACAAATGGGCAGAAACTTTTCATATATTGCATATAGAAATCTTAAGTGTGCAGTAACTTTCACGTTTTTTTTTTTATTGGAAATTCTTTGTGTTTTGAATGTGATATTTTGCATTTAACTTTTTTTATCTTTATATATTTTTTTTATTCATTATCATTTTTGAATTTCAGATCTCGGTGAACGAAGCCTCTGCCCAGCTCTGTCGTCACCGGGTGGCGCTACTGACGCGACGTGAAGATCTGTTTCCGTTAGCCAGACAGATTGTAAAAAACAGTGGTTACCAATACTCAAAGGGCCACTCCAGGTATAAGTTAGTACCAGTCTTACTGTCCATACCCATCCTATACTCCAGGTATAAGTTAGTACCAGTCTTACTGTCCATACCCATCCTATACTCCAGGTATAAGTTAGTACCAGTCTTACTGTCCATACCCATCCTATACTCCAGGTATAAGTTAGTACCAGTCTTACTGTCCATACCCATCCTATACTCCAGGTATAAGTTAGTACCAGTCTTACTGTCCATACCCATCCTATACTCCAGGTATAAGTTAGTACCAGTCTTACTGTCCATACCCATCCTATACTCCAGGTATAAGTTAGTACCAGTCTTACTGTCCATACCCATCCTATACTCCAGGTATAAGTTAGTACCAGTCTTACTGTCCATACCCATCCTATACTCCAGGTATAAGTTAGTACCAGTCTTACTGTCCATACCCATCCTATACTCCAGGTATAAGTTAGTACCAGTCTTACTGTCCATACCCATCC